GGGCGGCTTATTATTTTTTAATTTTTATCTTTTGAAAAATGTAAAGAGAAAGTGCAAACATAAGTTAGATATTTGTATACACAAGTTTGGGTGTGAGACGTATTAGGAAAACAAAATCTTCGAAAACTAACATTTTCTTTAGCACTGAGAAAAAGATTATTTGGAAAGAGTCTAACGATAAAAGAACGTGGTTAGCTTGGTAACACCACAGCACCACCTACGTAGCTTTCGCAAGATTTACATGGCGGACTAAAAAAAAACGCTTACACAAACTAATTTGTGATTTATTAGGGAATTTTATTAGAACAAGCACTATCCCCTGGAAATATCGTGGGACCATAAGCTTTTTGAATGCATATGATATCCAAACATATGATATCTCCTCTCTCTTTAGCAGAAGATGTAGCATAACAGACAGATGATAGTACAGTTTTTAAGTTCGAATACAATAAATAAATATATAGAAATATGAAGCAGACAATCGTTTTGTATAGGGAAATTAATCATATATAAATCCATAACTCTAATATAAGAATTAAGAATTAAGAGATTGCCATGGAATGGATGGAGAGTCTAGGGTACATGCAAATGATTTTAAAAGTATTGGGGTTATGCTTGTTGTAAGCCCAAAAGCGAGACTTCAAAAAGTAAATTTAAAGTTTAATGTTCTGACACAATACCAAACGGTAGATTTGATTTCAAACACTCTCTCTCACCTTTCGACTTTCGTTAATTGTCTTTCCTATCTGAAGCAGAGAGAGGGACAGATAGAATTACAGAGGCAGCGATTAGAGGAAGACGAATAGAGAGCGTTTATAAATGGAAGCAATCAGAAAACAAGCTACTAAGCTCAGAGAACAAGTGGCGAGACAACAACAGGTTCCCGTTATTGAGAATAAACCCTAAATAAAATCTCAAGATTTTCAATTTCAGAATCTAATCGCGTTCTTAGTTATGTTAAATCGAGGGTCTTTTTGTGCTTTTTCGTTTTTTTTGGTATTGAACCTGTTCTTGATCTGGGGAGATGGTTACTTCTAAGTCTTAAATCGATTGTGTCAAGTGTGGGTTACATTTTCAATATTTGATCTCCAAAATTGTCTAATTTTTACTATTATCTTCTTGAAATTGCTCCATTTGATTTAATTTCAACATGTTTCCATGGGAAAAGTTTCATTTTTTGTGCTATTATGTAAGCCCATATGTCCTGTCTTTAATTAAAGAAATGATTACTTACTCTAGTTTTGAAAGTTCTTGTATTAAACATAAATCGCTGCAAAGTGTGTTGATGTTCCTCTGTTTTGATGCAAATTTTGGAGGCTGTCCTGAGACAATTTGGGGGAGGAGGTTATGGAGGTTCAGATACTGTAATAACCGATGAGGAAGAGTTACATAGGCATCAGAAGCTGGAGAAGCTTTACATCTCAACCCGTTCTGCTAAGGTTTTCGAAATCTGCCAGCTTGAAAAATTCTTTTGCTTCTGTTTCATTGAAACCCTGAAATCTGCTTCCTTCTTCTCTCAGCATTTTCAACGGGACATTGTTCGTGGTGTTGAAGGATATATCGTTACAGGATCCAAACAAGTCGAAATAGGTGACTTTGTTTATGCAGCCTCACATTTGTGTATCCCACTTTCTGTTCTAAGGCTCATAAAGTCGTTTAGTGATTAATTATGTTGCGATTAGGGACAAAGTTGTGTGATGACAGCAGGAAATTTGGTTCGGAGAATACATGTACAAGTGGTAATACACTAACAAGAGCGTCACTAAGTTTTGCAAGTGCTCGGGCTCAAATGGAGAAAGAGCGCGGAAATCTCTTGAAGGCTCTTGGCACACAGGTTTCAAAACCGTTTTTTTTAATTTGACATAATCGTTGCATTTTCTTTTAGCAATATAGCTAAGTTTTACGTGATGAAGTTATTAGGTCGCTGAGCCATTAAGGGCAATGGTAATGGGAGCTCCTTTGGAGGATGCTCGACATTTAGCACAACGGTATGATCGGATGCGACAAGAAGCTGAAGCTCAGGTACTCTTGCAGGGCCGCTTCTTTTTAAAACTTCTGAAGCCAAAATTGTGTTTTTTACCAGCATGTTTTTCTTGAATCTACATAGACTATTGAAGTATCGAAACGGCAAGCTAAGGTTAGAGAGAATCCCGGTAATCCCGAACTCGTATTGAAGCTGGAATCTGCTGATGCAAAAATAGAAGACCTTAAATCAAATATGACAAAATTGGGTAAGGAAGCAGCCTCTGCCATGGCTGCAGTTGAAGATCAACAGCAAAACCAAACTCTTCAGCGGCTAATAACTTTGGTAATAACGTAGACAAATGGTTCGGTAAAACTTGGATTTTGTTTCGCCTTCAGAATCATTGACTCTCTCTTTTTTAAAACGTTTCTATGAAAAAGGTTGAAGCGGAGCGTAACTACCATCAAAGGATCCTTGAGATTATTGAACGGCTAGAAGGAGAGGTATATATCTCCATAGGTCACACCTTTTTCTACATTGTTTATTCTCTGAGAGACATAATTTCGTTGTATAGATGAGATTTGAGCAACAAAGAATCGAGGAAGCGCCTCAAACTCCACAAGTAGAGAACATCGTATCGCCTCCTCCTCCTTCATATGAAGAAGCTAATGCTGGAGTCAATGCTTCTCAAATGCATGATGGAACATCCGACGCCATGGGATACTTCTTAGGAGAGGTTAGTGAACTTAGAAATGCCATCTTGTTAGATTCACAAGAGCTCTTGATTTGCCTATATATGATCTATATCTTTCGGCGCAGGTCATGTTTTCGTATCAAGCTGATTCAGATTTTGAGCTCAGCATATCGGTTGGAGACTATGTTGTTATCAGAGAGGTTAGCATTCAAATCAAAGGCACCATTCTTTCTCTGTTTAGGACATCAAATAACCGAGAGAATCTTACAACTCAAGTACATGTCTTTTTGGTGATCCAGGTAACGAGCAGCGGGTGGGCAGAAGGAGAATGTAAAGGCAAAGCAGGTTGGTTTCCTTATGACTACATCGAGAGAAGGGACCGTGTGCTCGCGACTAAGGTCATCGAGGTCTTCTAATGGCTTCCCTTGGTGGGTTTTGGGACCCTATTTTTGTCTGTTTAAAACTCTGCCATTTGTTGAGTCTCTAAAATAAAAGCCTCTTCGTGTATTGCATTTCTCTTCTTTGTCTTTATGTATGTATCATGTATGTAGATTAAGAAATCAGAATTACAAAGCATAGTAAGACACATTAGTGTTCGAATAAGTAAACATTGTACCCGAAAATCAATCTTCTTGGGAGTACTTTAAGAGTAAAAAAAGTAATAACACTGTATCCGACAATCAAGGTTATTTAAAAAATAACAGAGGTTTAAAGATGACGACAGCTTAGCAAAAGAAAAAAAAAACTATCTATAGCAAAAACTAACTTGAACAAGAAATTAGTAAATGAGAGAGATGAAGAACAATTCTCAAAAAAAAATTGTGAAAATTAAAAAATATCAAAAACAAGACGAAGATGATGAGTTTGTTACGACAGCTTAGCAAAAGAAAAAAAAACTATCTATAGCAAAAACTAACTTGAACAAGAAATTAGTAAATGAGAGAGATGAAGAACAATCTCAAAAAAAATGTGAAAATTAAAAAATATCAAAAACAAGACGAAGATGATGAGTTTGTTGTGTAGTACTATTATTAGTATTATTAAGCTTAAACTCAAGTTCGGCTGTGAAATCCATAGAAACAATTTTGATCACAGGACAACTGGTCAACTATGGTGATTGGTGAGGTTATGTATGATTAATTATAGGTAGTCTTGCAAAAGAGTGATAGGCAGTAATATTTGGTTTGGAGTCATGTTGGAACGACCGTTCTTTGGTTATTTCCGGAAACATTTTACCACTGATAACTTGAATTTTTGAGAAATATTAATCAAAAACCTATTTTCGGATAATTTTATTTAAAGAAAATAATTTTAAACTAATATCATCTAGCAATATTGTATGTGTTCAGATGCTCAAATAAAAAAGTGTTGATGTATAACAAGTCTCTTTGCGTACCAATCATTGAATCACCAATCACCTTATTTAATCTTCTTGAGTCTTAAGTCTTGAAGAAACCTACTAATTATTACCCTTTTAAAATCACCAAGAAATGGACTTAGAACTTGCGTCGACATTTATCTAACTTTTCTATTCTTTTTATCTATAGCCAAGAAATTTACCAAGAGGTTGCGTGGAAACTAATAAATGTCATCAACTTTTCTTTTGTAAATTCCTCTCGAAAATGAGAAATAAAATAAGTCAAGCTTTTTTGGGATAATAATCGCCTTTGACTTATGATTTTCAAACAAAGACTAGTAGCGTTATTTTGTTTTGTTTCCTTGGACGTTAGTTTTTGGCTTATTATATTTTGAATCAAACAGTTGATTTCTTCATGCGCAACACCACATTTTAGTCAAGCTCGAAAGAAACTTCTTTCTTCTATTTCATGGCATTATTTTACACTCTTCTTTCTCGTTGAATGAACTAATGAGAAAGTAACACCTAACAAAATTTTGAATATACAGACATCTTCGAAGAAATAACGTATAAGACCATTGACATGACAATACAAGTCTTTATATAGTCCTCAATTACATTTACAATTAAACAATACAAGTCTTTGATATTGGCTTTAATTATATATATATATATATATCTTTTATTTTGTCAGTCAATTACATATTTTTTAACCCGACAGCAGTCAATTATATATTTCAGACAATACAATCCTGAATATAATTACATTATAATATAAAATAAAATAACTAACGTCTGACAGCTAGAAATGAAGTTATAACACCCAACTTGAATAGATCAATCATGGAACACATGGTTTCTTTCTCTTCTGTAATTTTCTCAGAAGGGTCATATATTTATTTAATTAATTTCGAGAAGCAAAAAGAAAAAAAGCACCACGTGCTAAACAGAGTGCTATATAGATCTTTGACGTACTTCCGTTGTATTCTGTCAATACAAATCTCGAGGCGCCAAAAAAACACTGCACAACCGGCGATTACCGATTCCCTCTCAGCGACTTTTCCGATTAACGACTAACACAAACAAAAATGCTGATCAGAGCCCAAAGACTCCCTATGTCTCCTTTCTTACCACAAAATCCGATTAAATCTAACCAAACACTGATCCGTTGTCTCGGCGGAGACTCGGTGCTAACTCAGAGAAAACTCAGTGGGATCACCACAGCTACTCCCGTTTTCCAGGGAAATCCGGTGGTGACTCGTCGGGAAATAAAAGTAGAGCGGATTACGAGGAAGTGCGTCGGAATTGTTGGGGAAGCAGAAGAAGAAGAGGAGGAGAAGAAGAGAGGGGATCTGGTGAAAGAGAGCGTATGGGAACAAATGAAAGAGATCGTGAAGTTCACAGGTCCGGCGATGGGGATGTGGATTTGTGGACCGTTGATGAGTCTCATCGACACGGTGGTGATCGGCCAAGGAAGCTCTGTCGAACTCGCCGCTCTTGGTACGCTTTTCTATAAACCCTTTTAATTCAAACAAAAAAATAAAAATTCAAGATCTGATTTCAGTACCATTTAAATTCGGGTTAGAAGCAGTAATAAGTTGTAAACCGAGTCGAACCGGACTGGTCCCCAATTGAATTGCAGTGACAATTATACCTTTCGGTTTGTTTTGTCTATTTAGATTTGGAAGATCCATGTGGTGTTGACTGTTGCGGATCAATATTAATTAAAAAAATAGAAAAATAAGTTTGGTAAAATGTCCCATCTGCCATTCTTTTTTAATTTTTATTGTAATCAAGTAATGATCTTGCAACTAATCATTAGATTTGTGTCGGTTCACCAACTTAAAAACGTGATATTATAGATCTTCTACAGAAAACGGTCTTTACATTTTTTTTACGTTTTTGTAAACGGTCTTTACTTTGACCAGGGCTAACCTACCAGTCATCGGTTCGAAAATGTATTTTGACATTATCTGAAAAAAAAATATTATTATTCACAACACTGAGAAAATTATAGTAAGTGAGTTTTGGGTCAATGGCTGAGAAAATTACCGGTTTAATAGGACCGGGGACAGTGCTATGCGATCACATGAGTTACGTCTTCATGTTCCTCTCCGTGGCTACATCCAATATGGTCGCTACTTCTCTTGCCAAACAGGTTTTTTTCTACTCTTCTAATTTTGTCTTTTAATTTTCTTATGCTCCAACTTCCAAGTAACCAAAACTACAGATGACTGTAACATCTGAAATTGTTCTCTTGCAGGACAAGAAAGAAGCACAACATCAGATCTCTGTCTTACTCTTCGTTGGATTAGTTTGTGGACTAATGATGCTTTTGCTCACAAGATTATTCGGACCTTGGGCTGTTACTGGTAAACAATTTTCACTACCAATAAAATGTTTCCATTTTAAGTTGGGTGAAATGTATCTAAGACTTTTGTTTTGGGTTTTTGCAGCTTTTACGAGAGGGAAGAACGTTGACATTGTACCTGCTGCCAATACATATGTTCAGGTTCTTTTTCATTTTGATCATCTTCTGTTTTTCAAATTCTTCTGATGAATGATGTCTCTCTTTAACCGGATCTCCCTCTGTTTCGCAGATTCGAGGCTTAGCGTGGCCGTTTATTCTCGTTGGATTGGTTGCTCAAAGCGCAAGGTTTCTTCTACTTTCCTTCTCCTTAATTAGCTTTAACATTAGATCTCGCGCGTCAGATTTTTCGCCTTGTTATGACTCACTTTACTGATGTGAGAATCTGTCTCAGTCTTGGAATGAAGAACTCATGGGGACCTCTCAAAGCATTAGCAGCAGCAACGATTATTAACGGTCTTGGAGATACAATTCTATGTCTGCTTCTTGGACAAGGTATCGCTGGAGCTGCTTGGGCAACAACTGCCTCTCAGGTAACTTAAAAACCATGATACCCAAAAGTTACAAAGTGTAAATGGATTAATGTGTTTGTGTGCTATGATTATAGGTTGTTTCAGCTTTTATGATGATGGATTCGCTGAACAAAGAAGGCTGCAATGCTTACTCCTTCTCGGTCCCTTCACCGCAAGAACTATGGAAGATCTCTGCACTCGCAGCACCTGTCTTTATCTCAATTTTCTCCAAGATTGCTTTCTATTCTTTCATCATTTACTGTGCTACCTCCATGGGAACTCACGTTTTGGCCGCTCATCAGGTACAATACAAAACAGAGAACTTTATGCCTAAGCGATGTTGATGTTATAGATTTATATATCTGGTTAACTTTTTTTTGTAGGTGATGGCTCAGACGTTCAGGATGTGCAATGTATGGGGTGAGCCACTCTCTCAAACGGCTCAGTCATTTATGCCCGAGATGTTATATGGTGCGAACCGTAACCTTCCCAAGGCTAGAACGTTGCTCAAGTCCCTAATGATTATTGGAGCCACGCTTGGATTGGTCTTGGGAGTTATCGGAACTTCGGTTCCGGGACTGTTTCCTGGTGTTTACACACATGATAAGGTTATCATAACCGAGGTCTGTTTTTGTTTTTTCAAATCAACATTTTTTTGCCTCTGTTTTCGAGTCTAGATTGGTCTAAATCTAATTCTTGATCTATTTCCAGATGCATAGATTGCTTATACCTTTCTTCATGGCGTTGTTTGCATTGCCTATGACAGTATCACTAGAGGGTACACTGCTGGTAAATTATAAGCTCTTATTCTATTACATGGTTTCTTGAGAAGCAAGAAATTTAATTAAAATCTTATTTTTTCTAAAACATGAATTAAAGTAGTTTTGCTTTTTTTTTATTGTTTGTCAGGCCGGACGTGATCTCAAATTCGTCAGCTCGGTAATGAGTTCAAGCTTCGTTCTTGGCTGTCTCACACTAATGGTACTTTACATAGCCCTTCCATAAACCCTAATCAAGATTATCACTCTTTGAAGAAGCTTGAAATTTGAACAACCTTCCAATGCTTTCTTGTTGCTGTTTTTGTTGATAACGACACAGTTTGTGACACGAAGCGGCTATGGTTTAATCGGGTGCTGGTTTATTCTCGTCGGATTTCAATGGGTAAAGATTTTTATACATAATTTTGTTTTAATGTATGTTATCATAAATTCTATCTTCCTCCAAAACGATCTTCCCTATAAAAAATATTATAAAAAATTGCAGGGTCGGTTTGGCCTGTATCTACGGCGGCTTCTTTCACCTGGAGGCATACTTAATACGGATGAGCCGAGTCCATATACGGTGGAGAAGATCAAATCAATTTAAGTCTCAGTATGATTTGTTTCCAAGTTTTTGCCAACTATATTCTAGGTTCTAGGCTCTACGTAAATTCAAAGCATAATAATAAATAAAAAACCTATATGTATAATAGTTCCATGAAAAAAAAAACTTGGAATTCACACTTTCACAGTCCCGAGTCCTAATTAAGAAATTATATTAAGTCAAAATTACTTTCTTCCTCTGAAGAAACACCAACTCTCCAGGATTCAAATTCCCTATTCGCTTCGTTTAACTCTTCTCTTTATTCTAAGTTCACAAATGGTTAAAGGTTCTCGACAACGGAGGATTTGGCCTTCAGATCAATGTGATTATGTTTGCGATAGAATTCTTGAAGAAAATGAAAATGCATTGAACTCAAAGAACTAGTCATGAGATGATAAAAAACAAACCGGTAAAAGAAATCAAGCTGTTGCGACTCTACTTCCACCTCTGCGTCCACGTCCATCAGGTCTCTCTGAATACTCTCTTCTCTGCATTTACCAAAAGTTTGAATGATCTTCAGTATTAAAAACAACGTAGAGACAGGCCCGGAAAACGAATAGAGGACTAAAAAGAAGCGACTTTATATTTTTTCTCTCTCGGGTTAACTTACAAAAGGTCTAGTGGGTCTAGCGTTTGTGAAATTCTGTCTTCTTCTCTCCACTTCCTTCTTCTTGGCCTCTGCTTTCATTTTGGTGGGACTTGGCCGATACAATATCACGGTCCGCCCGATCTGTCCTACTGCCACTGAACCAGTCGCTTCCTCCAAATGCCTAACCGCGTCCTCTAGCTCCTCGGGGGATGTCTTGCGTATCTTCACCTGTACGGATAAAGAATTCAGCAGAGGCTCAAGTCTCCTTTCAATCTTTTCTCATATATCAATCAAAGAGAGAGAGAGCGAGAGAGAGAGGATAGCCTTATAACCTTTAAGAGCTCGTTCTTCTCCAGAGTCTCGAGGAAGGAGAAAACCACTGAATCAGTAACGCCAGATTTGCCTACGAGTTGGCATTTCAATTTGTCACCCAGACTATGCGCGTATGAAGCCAAGTCCTTCTTCTCCTTTATCGACAACTTCAAACCCGAGCCCCGAGCCTTCTTCTTCATCTTTTCTGTTTTCTCCTCCTGACTCATCTCCGAAATCTCCTCAGATGCTTCCGAATCCTCAATTCCTCTCACAGAAATCATTCCACTTTCCACATCTTCTTCTTCTTCTTCGCTGTAATCGTCTTCTCCGAGGTCTGGTTCATTGATGGAAGAGAAGGATTTCGCTACGAGTGAAGTAGAAGGGAAAGGAAGCAGCTTTGAAGATAATGATTGAAAGCGAGGCTTGTTACGGTGGCTGGATTGAGAGATTAAGGCTGAGACGGAAAAGGGTCTGAGGAAGGGACAGACCGAAGATGGTGGTTCGGGAAGTCGGAGAAGGTTGTGGATAAGATTAGTCGACGAAGAAGACGATGGTGTTACTCTCGCCATTGCACACTACTCTAATTAATTTTTGTGACCCTCCAGAATTCAGGGGTTTCTTATAAACAAACTCCTCGAAATGTGATTATTGCACAATTAAGACCGTAACTTGTCATAAACTATAATTATAGTTGGAATTCTCACGGTTCCGATTTCGCTTTGGTTGCTTCGGGTCGTTGTGGAATGGGCCAACGTAGGCCCAATGACATTTAAAAATAAATATTCTCTCCCTCTTTTTTTTGACGGCTAATTTCTCCTCTGTCTTGCACCGGCTTTTCTTAAAAGCAAAAACTAATTAGATCTGTAAGGACCGACACAAATCAGAGAAGTGAAGATTTTTCTAAAAATAAAACTTAATAGTATTTAATTTATGATCTATCTTTTAGGCTAAGTGATTTCCATTTAAGGAATAGTTAAAGTTAGTAATTTATTAACAGTCTATCTAACACCATGTTTATTTTTTTGCTTTCAGCCTTTCACTATAACACCACGTATTGAATTTTGTTTTCCCTTTCTTTTTCGACATATTAAGGGAATTTAAAGATCACACCACATGGCACGTGAGAAAGGAAAAGCATGCACGTGAGCCAGCTGTGCAATGAAGCTCAAAAAGTGAGAGGCTATGACAACTACATAGCTTCGAGAAGCAGGCACTCTATAAGGTAAATCATTATTTCAGCATTTAAAAATCTTATCGTATCATTTACGAATATGTCACTCAGTTTGAGTGTGTAAAACTGCAATCTGTACATTTACATATCTTACATATTTTTAGCAAAAAATAAGTAAGGGAGTTATCATTTTTTTGGGGGGGGTAAAATGTGAAAAAAAAATGTGAATAAAGGAGATATCATTTACGAGTATGGAATAAAAATAAAAAAACGAGTATGGAATAAAAATAAAAATAATGGATTCTTTTGTTGGAATAAAATAAAATTATGGAAAATTGATGGCTTTGTATTTTTTCTTCTCCAATTTTATTGTTCGAATCAGACATACCATCCAGATTTACGTGTTCCCAAGAGGCTTAGACAACAGTACCAATTATTGTCATTGCTATAATGATAATTGTTACTAATAAAGTAATAATTGTTATTAATTTAAGGAAACACCAGATTCCACAAGAAACTGCTTAAGCACTATGCCGAGCTAAAATGATACTCTACCAAAAGGAATTCGATTTAATTTAATTACTAAAAACTCTGAAACGAAACAATTTGGTTTTGGATCATATAACTAAACGTTATGTAATCTTACTTAAGAATTTTAATGATGTTTATTGTTGGTATATAATTAGGATTATCCGAGTATATATCAATCAATTAGCGTTATGTGTGTATTTAAAAAAAAAAAAACAAACAAGATAACGTAGTATTATTCCATCATCGGTTATCGGTCCTAGTTTGCTGATTCTAAACGAATTGAAAAGCCCGAGTGTACATTGAATATACGGAATTAGCCTTGCCAAATGCCAATGTTAACTCGTTGTTGTCATTAATTTAAATACCAACAGTACCCCTACTAAGAGCGTTAGCGTCTACGTGTAAAGCGGTATCAGGTGAAGGAGCAGCGATCACATGCTGGTGATCAAATTATTTTCGCGCGTGTCTTCCCGCTTCTCTATTCGCGCGTGATTAACTTCCAGTAATTTTTCGTTGTTTTTTTATTTTATTTTGGTCTTAAACTAATATTCTGAAATTTGGCTGTTACTTAGTTTACAATGCAATGTCTCGCGGCAAAGGTAGAGTCGGAACTCAAGTCAGATCAATCTCCGTGTATGATTGTGTCGCATCCAGTTTATATAATTCAAGTTTGTGTATTTCCTAAGCTAAGGATAATATTGTTAATCAATGCATATTATAGCTTTGTATACATAAATTACAAATTAAATGTATAATTTGACGAACAGACAAAATTATTTATACATAACCATACTATTCATCTAACAAAACAAGAAAACTAGAAATGTTGACTAACTAGTAAGTAGTAACTACTATTCTGTTTTATGTGATACATTTGTAAGGACTATTAGCTTTGCATATATGTGCTTGTAACTCTATATATACATTATTTAGAATAAGCTGAACACATTGCTGGATTATCATCTTTGGGGAATTTATTGATCAAACCAGTGATTATTTTTGAATTCGACTGGTGCGCTTTCCTTCAGATGCTAATATATCTCCAACACAAATACGCAAAAGGCAATGTTAAAGTATTATCCACAGAGGGACAAACATCTTAATATATCATTAAATAAGGAGTGCCCAAGTGGAGTATTTTTATAGTTAATTAATTTAATAAGATCTAAGTCGTATAGAGCGTTACTTATTATGTGGGAGTATACGTGACAATTATGTTGTATTTAAAATGGAAATAGCTATTTAAGGAGTAGTAGGGAAATGGTAATTAATTTCGATGAAAAACTTGTATATAAAACCTGACATTGTGATGAACTTAAAAGTAATCAAGATGTGACGGAATCAAATAACCTAAGTTTTAGGACTAGTTTAAGCCATTGCTCAAATTATATGCAGAAGTAAAAGGGTAAAAAATGGAAAGTTACGATATATGGTCAGCCATTGTTATTCCCGCTCGTCTCGTGGCTTGAATTTGTTTGAAAACTTTTTACTGGTGCGCGCTTGTTTCACTACTCGGCCACACGGTGGTCTTCGATAATGTCACGTCAGCACACTGTAAAAGTGTTTCAATAAATGATTAATTTTTTTTTTTTTGGTTCCCGGCCGATTTGTTTTGTCGTTCTCCTCCCTAAATTATTTTCAACTACCACAATTAATTAAATTAAAATTATTTGGAAAGGCACAGAAAAATACAAAATTCAAAATCTGAATTTTCAGCCTCCTCGTTTCTTCACCCAGGAAAGAGAGAGAGAGAGAGAGAGAGATATCACCATTCGATCTTCCTTTCTCTCTCTACGGCGCCTTCGCTTAAAGAAGACGAAACAATTTCTCTCTCTTCTATGGTCTCACCTTCTCTCCCTACCATCTCGTAGCAAAGCCCAATCGAAAGAAGGAGAGAGAAGGAGGTCGCAATGCTTTATTCTTCTGTCTCCAGCCATGTGACCTTCCACTGACACATTCTCTGCATCTTCTTTCTTTCCCTTCTTCGGAAGTTTTTGTGTGGATTGATTCTTCTCACCGAATCCGCGACCGAGTCGCCGGGTTTAGCGAGTTGACTTGGAGTTTTGAGTTAGTGGATGGCTTCATCGTCATCGAGAACAAGAAGCAGTTCTCCCTTCTCGAACCGTAGACCACCAAGTCCCGCTTCTTCGACTTCTTCGTCTCATATTAGCAACCGTCTTATTCCGCGCTCTAGCTCCACCTCTGCGTCTTCATTTGTTAACTCCGGCGGCGGAATCGGCTCCCGATCTATGACGCCTAGTCGCACCTTCTCCGACTCGGGGTTAATCGGCTCTGGGAGCTTTGGAGCTGGATCGCCTGTACCGTACCCATCAGAGGAGCTTCTCGGTGAGCCCATGGAAGAGACTATTAGCTCTGAGCGGGACAGTATTTCCGTCACCGTTCGTTTTCGACCATTGAGGTATGTTAGATCTGATTGCCTTGGACCAGATCTATCGTTATGCCGTGATTGTTCCGGTTTACTGTTTTCAATTTAAGTGGAGATTCGGTCAATTTCTTGGGATATTCAAATTCACGTTTGTGATTGCAGTGATAGAGAGTATCAAAGAGGAGATGAAGTTGCTTGGTACCCTGATGGCGATACGATGGTCAGGCACGAGTACAATCCACTCACAGCTTACGCATTTGGTATTGAGTTCATCTCAATTCCTTGGATAAAATTCTTATCAATTATTTACAATACTGCTATTTTTGATTGTTTATTTCGTTCTTCCAAATTTTGTCGATGCCAGATAAAGTTTTTGGACCACAAGCAACTACTATAGACGTATATGACGTAGCTGCAAGACCAGTAGTTAAGGCAGCAATGGAAGGTGTTAACGGTAAGGAACATACCTGCAACAGTCAGCTAAAACCAAATTTGTGTTTGTCATAGAAATAGCCACTAGGTCTTCAATTTGGTATTGCTTGCAGCAAATCTTCTGACTCAGGGTTGGAAATTTTTCAGGAACCGTTTTTGCTTATGGTGTTACAAGCAGTGGAAAGACACATACAATGCATGTAAGTATTTTTTTCCTTATAAACTTTTCTCTCTGAATTTTCCTCTAAACACACTTACCATCAATCCGGATCTCATTTGCAACTTGGTTCTCCTTAAGTGGCTACTGGTTATGCTGGATTACTCTAAACATTTGAATAGAATTACAGCTGTTTGTTAAGTGAATTGGAAATTCTCATGTGATTGGCTGTGCTCATCTTTAGTAAAGTAGCCGCCTGAACAGTTGGATCTCAAATTCCCGTTCAATCAAGTAGAACCTATTGTCTGATTTTCTTTTATTTTTCAATATACGTAGGGTGATCAAGAATCTCCTGGGATCATACCGCTAGCGATAAAAGACGTGTTCAGTATCATTCAGGATGTAAGTGGTCTTAATGGCGTTTATGTCTTTTCTCATTCTATCATGTTCGCTAATTGGCTACGTCATTATCTTTCAGACTCCAGGCAGGGAGTTCCTGCTCCGTGTTTCATATCTTGAAATATACAATGAGGTTAGTGGAACTTTCTATCATTGATATATAGCTCGCTAAGCCCTGAAAAGTAGACTTTTAGGTTGGAATTTTTTTTCCTGCTCTTATACCTTATCAGGTGGAGCTAAACTGCTTACAATTTCTTAGAAATTTGGTTGATTACTCATCATGTTGTTGCCTTTACTTGAGTCGTTGTCTGTTTCATCTGTCGGCAGTTTATCTGATTGCTGTCCTTGTTACAGGTGATCAATGATTTACTGGATCCAACGGGCCAAAATTTACGAGTTAGAGAGGATTCCCAGGTTTGCTTCAACCTCTATAGACTGCTTAACTTTCTCCTTCTCTCACACACACGTGCATGTGTGTAGCATTGTGGTCTGAACAGGATAAATGATAACGAATTAGCTTCGAATC